AACTAATTATTTACCTTTTTTCCTATGCATATTTTTACCTGAGAATAGTATACTCCAATATAAATTTTATTTTTAAAAAGATGTGTCTTCTCATACATGATAAAAAAAATTTGAAATCGAAGTGTTACTCAAGAAAACATGCCTAATGAAGTATAAATTTATAATAAACATTTATTGAAGCAAAACGGGTATAAAATGCAACCCATGCAGCACGGTACCACTTAATATCTCGCTAGAAAGGGACGATATTGCGATAATTCCAGTTTGAGTAGTAAATAGTAACAAGGAGACGCCGTGAATTCAGTGCATTGGGACTCCATTTGTTGTCCCTTTCAGGTTCAAGCGAATCACAGTTCCTGTACACTGTACACTTAATCTTATTTATGAATTATTACAATCATTCAATATTGCAGTTGGTCTAATTTATTACATTCCAGACGCTTCCTGCCATAAAAACCATCCAAAATAGTTTAGTGACTATGACCACAGATTTAACAGCAATCAAACACGCAGACGACCTTCGCTTCAGTGAAAGCAAACCTTCATCTTATAAAGCTTTGTTTATATAATATATATTGATACTCATATACTGATATTGACCATAAAATTACGGTTTTGATGAACCTCACCCAAATTTCTCAACAATTATCAAGTTTTAACTCACATTCCCGAAGTTCTCATGATGCAAAATGACCCCATCAATCCAACGAAGGCATACGTTGACTGAAACGCCTCAATAGTCCCCTTAAATGATCAAAAAGCATGCGTTTCGACCCTACGAGACTATTCACAAGATCCCAATCCCATATATGCCTCGCATGTATCCTCACCAACAGGGCCCAAGCAAAATAACTGAGTGAGAGGTAAGCACATACAATGCTGGCGAGCGCAGAGAAGGCCATGCCTGCGACTGTGAGAGAGGAAGGGGTCGACATGGCAGAATCAAGAACGGTTCCCTTGAGGCAGCACTTTGTTCTGGTACATGGCATAGGAGGAGGAAGTTGGTGCTGTTACAAAATTCGGTGCCTTATGGAGAATTCTGGCTACAAGGTCTCATGCATAGACCTCAAAAGCGCTGGAATTGATCGATCTGATGCCGATTCTATTATTTCCTTCGACGATTACAATCAACCTCTCATGGATTTCATGTCTGCTTTGCCTGAGAACGAACAGGTTGTGCTCACCACTTGCTCGTCTCTTCTTCTTCCCCATCTGTCAGTCTCTTTCTTCACAGATTCCAATTAAACTGCTGATGATATCAAATAGGTGATATTGGTAGCACATAGCGCAGGAGGGTTGAGTATTACTCAGGCCTGTCACAAGTTTTCAAAGAAGATCCAATTAGCAGTGTATTTAGCAGCAACTATGCTCAAGCTGGGATACCAGACAGAAGAGGATATGAAAGATGTAACTCCTTTTCATTCAACTCCTTATACTTTTATCGTTTTAAAACATTTAATGTCTCATTCTTCTTAATTAGTTCACCTTAACAACAATAATTATATGCCCACCTGAGGATGTGAATATCAAGATGTGAGTAGAGAAGTCCTCAGGTGTGATCTTAAAATTGCAGGGAACAGTTGAGTCAGAAAGGCTCCAACAAAAATAGAATTAGAATTTAAGAAATTTGTAAGTAGGCAGGTTTTATAGTCTTAATGACTTCAGATTTGGAGTCAGATAAGAAAAATTGGGACGAGCCAGTGATTCATATGCTGGGATTTCGTTGTTGCCTGACATATGAATCTTGAAGGTTTCCAGCAAGGATGATATTGATGGTAGTATGTTGAAGTAATTGGCTTCCAACTGTCTTGAAAATTATTGAATTCTTGGGCAAGTCTGAGGCTCAACAGTACTATTATGCAAAGCACTCACTTACTCTGTCATATTTTTTTTCTTTTCAAACGAATAATACCCCCATAAACAAACAATGTAGCCACTGTTTAAAATGGGGGGCTTCTGTCTTTTCTCCCTCCTTTCCCCCTTCTTTCCTCCCTTTCTTCTTCTTGCCCTTATCTAGGAGACGGTTTAACGTTCTGTGCCATTGTTAGACTTCACAAGGTAGACCACTTACGATGCCTGCTTAGCCTGCCCTCCATTTTTTCGTTTTCAATGTTTTCTCCTCTGCCATCAAAAAACTGCTATTGTTAATTTTATCAGAGTCAATAACAATGGCTTTAAAAGTCATCTTCTTTATTTCATCTCATGCATTGTGACCCAGCGTGCTTATCTCCTTCGTGCGGTTGATTCTGAAAAATGATGACGAGGAGTCTACTCTAACCTAAACAGAGAAAATCCTTTGCAAAATTCCCCCCACCCATGATGCCCTAACTCATTCACAATCATTACCTTCTCGAATCTAATGAAGTTTTTCATTTCGAACTGTGCTTATCTATATCAAGTAATTTCTTGCCATCTAAAACCCATAACACAAAATTGTGATAATAATCATCACAACTTTATAAGCATTTTTTTAGCCACGTTATCCTGTTTCCAACAAACAAGAAATTGCTAAATGTCGTGTTTTCTTCCTTTTCTTAACCTGAACAGGAATTATATCCGACAACCCTGTCCCACAGGTCTACTTTTTTTTTTTTTGATATACTGAAAGCAAAACACACAGGTCTACTTTATCATCCACTGATAATAGCAATTTCTATTGTGTCTGAGTCTAACGTAGCGCCAAGAATTGAACAGAAGCAAATAATTGCAAGTGAACCCCTAATTGCTTGAATTTCTTGACATCAGAAAGCGAACTTTCTGTGGCCCCTAAACTCTGGATATAATGATATACTTAGAGATGTTTACGTTATGCATCAAGCAGGGGGTACCTGACATATCTGAGTTTGGGGATGTGTACGAGCTAGGATTTGGACTGGGAAAGGATAAGCCCCCGACAAGTGCTGTGGTGAAGAAAGAGTTTCAACGCAAAATCATATACCATTTGAGCCCCCATGAGGTAAATCACTCCAAAAATTAGGAAAAAAAACAGACAAAGCAGCTAGGGCAAAAATGAAATCTCCATTAAACTGTTTAAAACCATTATTACTTTCTCAGGACTTTAAGCTGTAGAATACCCCACAGCCCACAATTTCTAGATCTGCTTTTTCTACGAGTAGGACCATAAATAGCTATAGCCAGTGCCCCCAATTTTTTAGCGAGAACATGAAAACCTAGATCATATATCTAAACAGTTAAAGACTTATCAATTCAGTAATGTCACACAAAGAAATGCCGTTTGGGTTTCAGGATTCAACCTTAGCTGCGATGCTTTTGAAGCCCGGGCCGCTTCTAGCTCTGACCAGCGCGCGATTTGACGATGAAGGGAAGTGGAGAAGGTGAGGCGCGTGTACATAAGGACGAAGCACGATAAGGTGGTGAAGGGAGAGCAACAAGAGGCGATGATAAAGAAGTGGCCACCATGTGCAGTGTATGAACTGGACAGCGACCATAGCCCGTTTTTCTCCACGCCATTCGTCCTCTTTGGCTTGCTCGTGAAAGCTGCAGCTTTTGACGTTGGATGCAACTTCCTAAGCCAAAGCTGAGGGACCCCTCCTTCCCTTTTCCTTCGCTGATTCCATCTTCAAGCAAACCGTAAGTTCGTCTCTGCTCTCCAGTTTCTGATAGTGGCCGAGGCGAGAATGTTATGGGAACACCACTTTTTAACCGTGGCATAATTGTTTTAATAAATTTATTATTAGTATAAGGGTTAATATAATTTTCCAGATTCAGAGCGAAGCAGAAGCATGCCGAATCGAACGCACGGCATGTGCTTGTAACAGAGTTAACAACCATCAGGCGATCGAGAGGCGGTTAATATAATTTAAGGATTAATATAATTTTTGGTTTTGGCCAAAAAAATTTTTTTTTGGTTATTTAAATTTGTTTTTTTATTTTGTTTCCTCAAATTTTAAATAACAAGTTTTGGTCCTTCAAATTTTTTTAGAAATTTTTTATTTTATTTTTTACTCCTTCAAAAGCAGGTTTTCTCTTAGAAATTATGAGAAAAATTCCTCTCATATATTTATCTTGTATAACATAAAATCACTCAAAATAAAATAAACCCAACGTCGCAAGCACCCCCTAAAGCAAATTTATCTATTTCCTTTGCCGGTCCCTCAAATTAATTGAAATGCTAAAAAGTTATATGATAGGTAAGTGACTTGGACAAATACGCACCAGCGATCTAGGAGTGTTTGGATGGAAATCAAATCAGAATTTCAAAAGTGTTTTTACAGTTTACGAAATAAATATGTGAATGAGTTTTCTCGTTTTACGAAAAAATGTTTTCAAAAATGACTTTGAGGGTTGCCAAACACCCCTCTAAACACATCAACGAGGAAGGAAACTTGTTTTCAGATAATGGGACATGTTCATATCACTGTTATATACTTAGCCTTTTTTTTTTTTTTGCCAGAACTATTAGCTTAGTCTATTATTTCAGACTTCATATACTTCTACTTCCCACAGCCTCAGCTCAAAACGAGTCACAAACCATAACATCAAAACCAGGTGATCCATGCGCATTCTCAGGCTTTAACACAAGCAAGCTTTATCACTTAATACTCCTCGGGTCCTTAATATAGGATCTAATTGTTGAGTTGGTTTTAGTTTTAAATATAAGACCCCATTTCTATATTTATCAATTTTCTCTAAATTACTCCTATGAATACTCCTCAACCATAATCAAATAAAAGAGGAAGATGGGTATTAAGAAAGATGATTATGGTATTTTAGGAAAAACATTTCACATTTTTATAATTAACTACCTTACCTAACTTTCTTAATCTAATCAAATTAGTTAAATAGGTCTTATATTAAGGACCGGAGAAGTAGTCGATATGAGGGAGAAAAGTATCCAATGTGTGCAAATTCATATATTATACTTTTCTCTGATAATGTTCAGTATAAATGGTACTCGTGGCCCTAATTAAAAGTGAAAATCAAATAGATGAATGACTCTTTTGGCATTGAAAAGCAATAATTCCTCCAGTGTATTACTCGCTCTCCAATAGAACTGATTTATACATATTTGTAGCAATAATGCTGATGCAGCCAGTGGAAGATACGTTGGTGGGACTCAATGAGGAGCCTTAGATAACATAGCCATCGTGGCTGTCTTCTTATGTAGCTCTGACTTGTTGGCCCCAACAAGCTTCTCTACTTGTCGTCCATCTTTCAGAAAATAGAATGTTGGAAGTGCTTTGATATCCCATGAACTACTCAACTCCTACATTTACCCAACACACGTTTTCCAATAAGGAATTAGCTTCGACCATATTCAAACGTAAGCTGTGCAGCAGATAACAGCTTCATTTGCGGCAGTGTCTAGAGGGAAAAATTCGGTTGCAATTGATAGGTAAACGGCATGTGACTAAGGGGGTGTTTGGCAAGCACCTCAAACCATGGTTTTGGGACCCAAACCATGGTTTGGGAAAATGTTAGCCAAACATCCTTAAAAAATCAAAACCATGGTTTTGAAAAAAACAGAAATTTTTTACTTTTGGAGGAAAAAGGGGAGAATGTCAGAGCTTATAGGATATGTATCTTGTTGTTTTTTTATAAACATATTTTTTTATAAATATATTTAATCTTATATCTTATAAATATATATACATATTAATTATTTATTAATTATATTATCTTATATATTATTAATATGTTAATAAAAATATATTACTCCTCCAGTCCTAATTATAAGACCCAATTGACTTTTTTGAGGAGATTAAGGAAGTAAGTTAAGTTGGTTATTTATAATAATAAGTGTTGTCATTCCTAAAATATCCTTGCTAATTAAGTATATTGGCTAAAACTATCATTATTAGAAGGATTATCTTGGAAAAAAATGCATAAATATAATAAACAAAATGGATTGGGGTCTTATAATTAGGACCAAATAAAAATTCAAATGGGGTCTTATAATAAGGACCGGAGGAGTATTAACAATTTTATTCCTTCAAATTAAAATATATCATAAAATATATATTTTCTATAATTATCATATTAATTTATGCCAATTTGTATATATAAAAAGTACTTCTAATAACAATTATCCAAACACTCACACTTCTCAAAATCACTTTTTCACAAATCTATTCTTCTCAAAATCTATTTTTTTTATAATCTATTCTCCAGAAGCTATTCTCCAAACCATGGTTTGGTTTCATCCAAACATCAAAACACCATTATGCTGTGTTTGAGTGACACCCCAAACCATGATTTGGGGAATAAATCACCTAAACACCCACCCAAAAACCAAAATCATGGTTTTGGAAAAAGCAAAAATTTTTTGCTTTTGGAAAAAAGGGAAAGTGTGAGAGCCTATAGGATATGTATCTTGTTTTTTTTAAACATATTTTTTATAAACACATTTAATCTTATATTTTATAAATATATATACATATTAATTATTTATTAATTATATTATCTTATGTATTATTAATTACGTTAATAAAAAATATATTATTAACAATTTTATTCCTTCAAATTAAAATATATCATAAAATCTATTTTTTCTGTAATTATCATATTAACTTATGTCTTTTTTTTAGTAATTTGTATATATAAAAAGTGTTTCTGATAACAACTATCCAAACACTCTCACTTCTCAAAATTACTTTTTCATAAAATCTATTCTTTCCAGAATCTATTCTTCCCAGAATCTATTCTCCAGAATCACTTTTTCAAATTACGGTTTGGTTTCATCCAAACACACCCTAAATCAGGGAAAGTAATATGGTTTCCTATTCTCACTGTTTTAGTCACAGTATGCTGCATCAAAAAATCTATACTTTTTCAATATAAAAAAAAATCTATACTTACAGCAAGCCCATCAGCATCTACTGTCAGAAACAAAAGGCTCGAATACTTGTCGGCCAGCTCAGCATAGGTAGGTGCAATATCTTTACAGGGATTAGACCAAGATGCCGTAAAGTTTGCCACAACCTATAGAATAGATGCCCAGGACCCAAAGAAAAAAAATCTTGTCAGAGATAGATAACGACACTGTTGTAGCTATTAAGTTATAACTAAAACAAGTGACTAACTGTTCACCAATTAAAAAAAAAAAAACAAGTGACTAACTCAGAAAAAGCTAGCAACAACGGTATAATGCACTTCTGTGGGAACGTTGGATGCCTGAGTAGATTTTTTTTGGCTTACTTTTAAAATACTGGTATGTCTCTGAAAGTAGAAACTACACACAAAACTGCTAAATTTCTCGAGTAGCAACCAAATGAAATGAAGCTCGTGATGCATTAATCCCTGACAAGATTCCTTTGTCATTCCATATTAATATTTTGTTTCTTGGCCCACGTAGCTAATCATTGTACTATAAACTTACAATCTGTCCCTCCTGGTTGGCTCGTAGTAGATTTGTTTCCCAACTCTGAATGCTAGTTATGTGGTGCACATTCCTGGAAGTATGGTACAGTCTATCAGAACTCTGATCCTCACTATTACTTCCACAGAACTGCAATAATCATGCAACTATCAGTTGATGTGACCGGGATAATAATAAGAAATTACTTGATTTTATGAATATGAAGGAAGAACGGACCATGAAAATTTTCATGGAAATATTTATGTCTACTGGAAAAACAGTGAAACATCTCCGCAGGACATTCAAGAATCAGGAAATGATTCATATGTTATAAAGACAACAAAATGCCTTGAAGTCACACAATCAGAAGTGAACCCAAAAGGAATAATGCCCCTTATAACTCTCATCAAATCGATAGAAATAAGAAAGGATTTTCTAGAGGTTTTCTACAAAATGTCACCTTTAAACCAGTGATCATTTTTAGCTAGTCATGTTGGACATGCAATAGGCATAATCTTCGTTGATCCTTATTCATGTAAATTCGATAGTTTTACGCTGGTTGTTGAGAGCCTAATATAATCCTCCTCCTTTATCCAAGCTTGGAACCAGTTACACATTGGTGGAGTTGTATTAGGTGTAACGTCCTGAGTTTTATCGAGTTTTAATAGTCTCTTTTTGGTTGATTTTGAGGATAGATTAGTGATTTAACCTTGATCTTGGTGTTTGGCTTGGGATTGAGATATGTTGAAGGAATAGGTGAACAATCCCTCTCAGGGTTTGTTTGCCGCGGCGAACCGGGAGTTCCAGGGGGATATCTTTTCAGGAAGGTTTGGCCGCGGTGAAATCAGAGGGACGCCGTAACGAAGTTGTTCAGGTGAGCGAGGTTTCCCTCTCGATGAGGTTTTGCCGCGGCGAAAGTTTTCTGGGCGAGCGAGAGTTTCCTCTCGGGAAGCTTTCACCGCGGCGAAGTCAGGTTTTCAGGCAAGTAATTCCTTTCAGAATTAGTTCGCCGCGGCGAAGGGGGTCGAATCTATATAGTCGCAGAAGGGGTCAGATGTGCGAAAATTAGAAAATCTAAAGGAAAAGAGAGAGGCTCTGCTAGGGTTTTGAATTTTTAGCTTAGAGGGGGCATTTCTAAGGATCCATTACCTCAAGTAAGTGATTTTAACCTCTAATCTACTTTCTTTCTTGGAATTTATGAGGATTTATGGTGAAACCCTAGAGTTTTCTAGGTTGTGATGGAATTGAGGTTTTTGACAGATTATTTTGAGTTTAATTGATTGCTTTGGGCTAGTCTAAGTATTTAATCGGTGTAGTTTTCTTAGATTTAAAGAACTTTGAGTTTTTGAAATTAGGGTTTATGAAAATGGGAGGTTTGTGATTGAGGATGATAATGTGGAGGTTGATTTTGAGTTTTGTGATTTGGGTTATGTTAAGGAGGGTTAAATTGGATGTTTAATCGGTTTAGAATGTTGTTAAGACTTCAGTTGTTCAAATGGGATGTTTGAGTGTTGAATTCCTATAGTGGGTCCTTGAGATTATGAGTTTTAATTGATGTTTGGAAAGGAATTAAGGTTTTAATGGATTTTTATGACCTTGGAGTGTTGCCTTGATGGTTATACCCTTTTTAGTTGGGTAGAGTTGTGGTTGGAGCTAGAAATTTTGTGTCCCTAAGTGTTGTTTTGGCCACATTATTAGTTGAAAGCTAATACATGATAATTGTGTGCTTGTGTAGACCGGTTGTGAGCCTTGTTGGTGCACGGGGCCGTATTGTTGGTTTGTTATTCCTTACTCAGGCGAGAGATAACCACTTTCCAATCCTTTGTACATGCTTTTGTGGTATTGTAAGTGGTTTTATGTTTTATGCTCCGAGTAAGAACTGTGTTCAAAGTGTATGTTGTATATTGAAAAGGAAAAACCGTCTTGTGAGGTTTAAATTGATATTGATTGAATCTGGAACTTGTGAAAGATAGGCCACTAGAAGAAGTTAATTGTGAAATGATCCTTTACTCTTTGATTACGGTTTGAGCATGATGCATGAATTAGGAATTGGTGAGAGTTTCGATTGTTACTACCACGTGGTAAGGCCTCCATTAATGCATGATGGTTGGCTCTTTACATCCCCCATAGTGAGGGATAGGCCGAGTTCGGCTCTTGAAAATCTCCCAAAGTGAGGGATATGGTTGATGGGATTGCATCATTGCACTTGCATGACTTGTTGTGGCTATCATTTATCATATTATTTGTGAACTACCCTACTTGACACCTCACGAGTACCTGTTTAGTAGTACCTTGAATTGGAAAGGTTGGTTACTGGGACGTTTATCTCACCCCGTGGTTTACATGTTTTCAGGTGAAGGTTCTAGGCGTGTGCTTTCGAGAAGAGACGCAGAGGCTTGAGCTTGATTAGCTTTAGGCCTTTGGCCCTTGTATATGTATGGCTAGTTGTATATTGCCACATTTAGGGCTCCTTTTGAAATATTTTGATTGTCTGGTCTTATTGTAAACTGGAGGAAATGTTATCTCCTTATTTTTGGTTGCCCGGAGACCATTTCTAGTGTTTTGTGAAACTTTGATATAAATTGTTGGAAACCAATTGTATGGGCTGATGTTATTGTCTTTTGTTACCCGGGTCGGAGGCCCAATGGATGTTAATGAATGATTTTAGTTGCATGCAACGGAGTTTGGGTTTGAATCGAGTTTAAATGTCAATTTTTAAAATTATGCAAAAAATTTTCTACTATGGTAATTTGTTGTAACATCTTTCCTTTTCTACCATAATAGTGACTTTACGACGAGTTTATAATGTTTTGTGGGTTAAGGGCTTTACATTAGGCATAATCACGCAACTTAAATCTTGAAGACTGGCAAAAGTTGTCAGTCACAAGATGTGACCAATTTCTAAAGGGGAGGTCATGAGACAAATGAGAAGCATACTTGGAAAGTTCAGCACACATGTAACAAGAATGGCCATGCAAGAAATATATACCGAAGGGAAAAAGATGCTCTAATAAACAAATTTAGCTCCTTGATAGCTTAAAAGCAGAAGAAGCGTCCAGAGCAGAATTTACCTGAGGCCAAAAACAGCCGATTGAGCATACACAACTGGGCTTTGATAGTTTAAGTGAACAACAGCCCATTGAGCATCCACTATGGAATATTTATAATGTTATAGCAAGTCTCTGACGCAATACCTGCCAAGAAGCCCTATCAGATAGCCGCCATGTGCCCAGCCAGTGAACCTGCTTTAAATATGGCTTCACATTACTCGATGTTTTTAGCATGAATCAGTAAACATACTATTACTTTGGCAATGAAATTAAAGAAGGTTTAGAGATTCGGAGGAGAGTCTGAAAAAGAAAGATATAGCTTTTTTATTTTGAACATTGCAAGTTTACATGATATACCAAATAGTGGATATGTTTTACGGAATACATTTCTTCAAGGGGGAGCGAGGCACCGCTCAAATGGAAATTCTTTGTTGTCAATGGTCACTTGTTACTGCTTTCCTTACATTATTTTGGGAGAAGGAATTTCCATAATATCAGAGAAGACCAGAGAAACAATAACCATTTCAGAAATTCAGAAGAAAAGTTTATTAGCATTACCAAAACAGAGGATATATATTTAAAGGTCACTAGCTGGCACATGGGAATCGGGACATTTAATTCATCAATAACAAGCAAAGGACGTGAATATTTATCACCATAATGCAAACTGATCGATATAAATTACCGCATTACGTTGTTGAAATGATGTCCTTTCTGCAGCAAATGAAATGTGTTTCTAATTTCCTCCATATAAAAAAACACAAAGGATGGTAACGACACGATGTTATATATATTAGATTGAAACAAACAAGAATCCCCCCACAACAACAAGAAGAAGAAGAAGAAGAAGCGCCTCTAGCCAAATGGGAAAAGTTAAAAAGAAAATAAAAAGGAATTGCAGGGATCAATTTTATCAGAAGGAATCAAAGGCGAATCACATAATTTACCTTGGATCGTGTACATGAACAGGGTTTGTTTCGAAGCACATACGATTTCCCTTCTACTCAAAATGCCAAAATTCTAGGGCTTTAATTTGATCAAAACACGATGACCAGAAAACATCGAGAAGGTTTACCAGAAGATTGAGAAAATTAATGATGATGGAAGAAAAACTTGCTTCCTTCCTTATTGGGTCGGTCACAAAATGGCAATGTTTTTCTTCCAGTGGCTTTTGCCTACCTATTAAATTTATTTAAATATTTCATTGTACTCCCCATAATTGGTAATTAGAATAAATAGATGTTTTTTTTTTCCAAAAGGAAGAGTTAGTGTAGATGATTATAAGAATAAACTAAAATTTAAATATAATTTCGAATTATTTGTATTGAGTAGTTATCTTCTAGTAACATGAGGCCTCATCATGGTTTATACACACGTTACTTTTTTATTATAAAACTAAAAATAAACACTATAGCCCTAATCTATTATGAAGAGCTATGTGACAAGATTTAGCCATTAAATGTTGAATTTCATCTAAAATACAAAATTTAAATGCATTTTATTTTATATTTATTATTTTTTGTTAAACTAATTTATCTTATTTAGAAACTAATATGCACTCTAATACTACATCCACCTCTTAATATAATGTAAGTAGTTCTTATATTAAGAATCAACCAATAGGGGAAATAGGGGAAATTTCTCATGTTAATTATATATTGCCATGTCAGTCATTTTTTTTGTTACATATAGATATTTTTTTAATCAGAGGTAATCATATTCAGGGAAAAAGATAGAAAAATAACAAATGAATTTCATAATACTAGAAAGGTTTGTTGAATTTGAGAAATCCCAATTTAGTTTCAAGAGATTAATTTGGCATTTATAAGTTTGTTAAAATGACCATATTACCTTTCATTTTATGTATTATTTTTAAAATACCAAAGCTCTCATTGGCCGACCAGTCACGGGAGCTTCGGCAGCGGCAGTCACCAGAGCTCCGGAGACCAGTCGACAATTGGTCACCGGAGCTGGTCACCGGAGCTCTGCCGATCGAAAACAATATTTTTGAAAATTTTTACAATTTCAGTATAACAGTTAACAACTTTTGTATCGTTATTGACAATTTCAATATAACAGTTAATAATAGGTTTTCTAGGAAATTCAACAAACTCCGAAGGCTAGAAATAAATTTTTTGAGAATTTTTACAACTTCAGTATAACAGTTAACAATTTTTGTAATGCTATTAACAATTTCAATATAGCAGTTAATAATAGGTTTTTTGAAAAATTCAACAATTGGTCGCCGGACCTCCGACAGCCGAAAACAATATTTTTGAAAATTTTTACAATTTCAGTATAACGGTTAACAACTTTTGTAACGCTATTAACAACAGGTTTTTCGAGAAATTCAAAAAGTAACATTTTTATAACTTTAATAATGCCGTTAACAAGTTTCGTAACCCTATTAAAAACTTTAGTATAGCATTTAACAATATATTTTCTTAAAAATTAAAAAAAATGGCATTTTTACAACTTTAGCAACTACTTTTTTTTTTAAAGAATTTTTACAACTTCAGTATAAAGGTTAACAGCTTTTGTGATGTTATCAACAACTTCAGTATAGCAGCTAACAACAAATTTTTCAAAAAATTTAAAAAGTAGCATTTTCACAATTTTAGTAATGTCGTTAACAAGTTCCATAACTCTATTAACAACTTCGGTATAGCATTTAACATCGAGTTTTCTTAAAAATTTAAAAAAATGGTATTTTTATAACTTTAATGACTACTTTTTTTAATAAAATATTTACCATTTTAGTATAATGGTTAACAACTTTTGTAACGCTATTAATAATTTTGATATAGTAGTTAACAACAGGTTTTTCAGAAAATTCAAAAAGTAGTATTTTTACAACTTCAGTAATGCTATTAACAAAATCAAAAACTTATTGTTAACTGCTGTATTGAAATTATTAATAGTGTTACAAAAGTTGTTAACCGTTGTACTGAAATAAAAATTTTCAAAAATATTGTTTTTGGCCGCCAGAGCTCCGGTAACCAATTGTTGAATTTTTCCAAAAATCTGTTGTTAATTAGTATACTGAAGTTGTTAATAGCATTACAAAAGTTATTAATTGTTGTACTAAAGTTGTAAAAATTTAAAAAAAAATTGTTTCTGGATGTCGGAGCTTGTTGAATTTTCTATAAAATCTATTGTTAACTATACTGAAGTTGTTAATAACGATGCAAAATTTGTTAACCGTTATACTGAAATTGTAAAAATTTTCAAAAAAATTTATTTCTGACTAGCGGAGCTCCGATGACTAATTATTGGCTGGTCACTGGAGCTCCGGTGACTGGCTGGCCAGTGAGGACTTTGATATTTTAAAAACAATAAATAAAATGAAGGGCAATATGGTTATTTCAGCAAACTTATAAATGCCAAATTAGTCTCTTGAGACTAAATTGGGATTTCTCAAATTCAGCAGACCTTTTTTGCATTAGAAGTTCATTTGTCATTTTTCTGTCTTTTTTCCTCATATTTAAGGCACTGTCGGGCACTAAGGTACTGTTTGGTATAAAGTATTGAAAATAAACAATAGGAATTGGGATTAAGATTGAGAAAATAGTGTTTAGTATGAGATATTACTTGTTATATAAGATTAGACAAACCCATGTATGTGGGATTAAGAAATATCATGGGAGAAAGTGATATTTTCCAAACATGTTTCCATGAGTTTATCTAACTCCATATAATAAGGAATTACTCATACTAAAAAAATTTTTAATATTTTTTAACTACAATCTTAGTTTTTATTTTTAAAATACTTTATATCAAATGAGACCTAGATGTGGGTACCTTTTTTTGTTTGTCAGAATTTAAAATTTAGTTGCCGACGTTGCAAGGAGTGTGTTGTGCTGCCCAGCAAATATTAATAATAGGGAAAACTAATTTAAAAGTCCTTATAGTTTACATTAGTTTTGAATCAAGTCCTCAAGCTTTTTTTCTTTTTTATTAGATCCTTTACCTTTCTACTGTTAAAATCGTTAGCCCTTACTGTTAAGTGATTTTTTTTTTTAACCTGAAATTGTTAAGCAAAAATAAACACTGTTATCTCATCTCTTACGCAACGTTCTCCCTTTCTCATCATCCTTCACATCTTGTCCTCTCCTTGAAATTTCTCCAATGCCGCAAGATTTCCTAAGAAATAGATTGTCAATCAATTGACCCATAAGATTCAGCATACATGCGACGAACTCCTCGGCGGAGCAAATAAATCGAATGTTCTACTAAAAAAAATCGAATGCATCTACCAATTAAAATTGCATCGAAGGAAAAAAGCTCATAGGATTTTCAAGAGCGAGAGGAGCATTCGATTTAACTCTTGAATCAAGAAAAACTCTTAGAAAAAGAGAACCAGTCTTTAATTAGTAATAAGGTGGAGGACAGTGATAATAACACCTGAGAAAAAAATGGGAACAGAATCAAAGGGAGTGATTGAAGGAGCAAGAAACAAAGGGAGTGATTGAAGGAGCAAGAAACAAAGGGAGTGGAGAAGATAATAGAGAGATGGCTGTTAAGAAGCCTGGGGAACAGAGTAGGAGCTGTGCATGACCCTTCTAAAAGTCATTTAGCAGTAGCGTGGGGGAGCAAAATAACACGGCAAAGTGATGATCTGGAGAAGCAAGACTACACGATCAGAGCAGTGGAGGAATGATAAAGGCCCTGGGTTCCTACAAGACAAATATATGAGATGAATAAGTGGAATAGGAGGTTTTCAAAAGTTTGATGAATGATTTTGTGCTTGGACTCGCATCGTCAGAGCCATGAGCCTTCTTCCTTACTAGGAGATAGGACTTGGTCAAAAAGGTGAGGAGGGACGGTGAGGTCAGGACTCAGGAGAACGCGGTAGGGAAGGAGATGTAATGAAATTTTTAATGGTGTTTGTTCACATTTAACGGTAAGGAGTACCGGTATTAATATCAGAAAGTTAAAAGATCTAATAAAAAGGAAAAAAAGTTTAAGGACCTGATTCAAAATTGATGCAAACTACAAGGACCTCCAAATTAATTTTCCCATTAATAATAATATCAAGGCCCAAGCCAATACATAAAGGCCACGTCTATTTTATCGTCATTGCTCGTTATAGTATGT